ATCATTAAAAGTTTCAACAGGAAGAGAATTTCTATGAAATTCCATAAATTTGAATAATGTCTTATTCATAACGTGCTGAAATGATGAGGACACGTTTTTTAATACAAACACAATTCATAATCATCAGCATTGGCACGACAGCCCATTGTCAGCCTGCGCCTTCCTCGGAAGCTTTTCCCACTCTGCGTTCTCCAAGCAATTGATTTCCAGTTCTTTACTTTCAGGATGGCAAAATCATCATCCACACAGTGTTTCCATCTCTTTTTCGGCCTTCCTCTTAGCCTTTTATTGGAGGGGGTTGCATTAAAGACTCTTAATGCTGTTCGTTCTGGGCTCATCCTCACTACATGCCCAGCCCATCTCATTCTACTTAGTTTAATAGTTTTAATGATATCGTATTAAAGATCTTACTTATTAAAGATCACTATTAAAGATCTTACATATTTCAAAATTATATCTTTTTCTCCAGTTGTTGTTATCGAGGATAGCACAACTGGCCAACGAGGCGCCAAAGATGGTTCGTAGGCCTTCCTACAAACACAATTACCTTCTATCCATATTGAGCCCGAGGTGTACTACTTATGTAAAATTCTTATTTCTGCAACTTTGACTATATTGTGAAATACATTTATTTATTTTTGGTACAAAAAATTATAATTAATGTATCTCTTCATTTTTTTTAAACCTAAATGATTCGCAAATACTGATTCTCGTTCCAATGCTAGCAGCTTCGCGCTTCAACATGAAGGCAAAACAAGTTATGCTTCGATTTCGTTACAGACCTTATCATTATGAAACAATAATACCATTAATTAAACAAAAATTTCCTTTCTTAAATTTCATTTGTTCTCATACTCCTTTCAAAGTTGAGCATCCCTGTTGCTCGACAGTTAATTTATTAGCTACATATATACCTCGATTTAATTATGTTTGATGGATGCTATTTGCAACATTAAATACCATCTCATTTATTTTTAAACAAAATATATTTGAATTTTGAATTTATCTTTTTTCGATAGCAAATCACTCATAAATCTCAGTATTTTACTATCTATGACTAATTAAAGTCTTTCCTCCTACCCCCCCCTCGCTTCCTGAAACCTCTGAGTTGTTTATATTCTAGCAAAATAAATCCATAGTCTCAGGAGGAACGAATGCTTCGTCATCAGGGCGACTGAAATTTCAACCGGCTTTTTGACAAATTGTTTTCATATTGATAACTACTCTAAGATACGGGCACATTTACTCCATAGCAAAAGGAAGAAATTATTTGTAATTTCCTTGATGGATGCTTTTAAATCTTCTGAAATATAGTTTTCGCTAATAATTGGAATGAGTTCCATCATCTAATGAAGCTGATACATGATTATTTCCTAGCTGATTATTTCTATTTTTATACTTGTATAATTCAACGGGCGTATTCCCTTCACTAATGTACCTAGAATCGACTTTCGCGCTTATTATTTCGTTATTGTGATTTACCAGAAGCTCCGATTTATTTATACTGAAATCATATTTCTCCTCTGATTCTTCAATTTTAGGGGGCAAAGTTATTTTTTTATTACAAAATGTAGCTGGATTTAGAAATATACTTAACACGATGCTATATCCAACATATGAATATTAGTGTGATAATCTAAAACATGCATGAGATCAAGGAATAAGACTTTTTAACATCCTCACCATTCTACTTTCCGGCAACAACTCAACTCATTTTTACTCATTATTCATTCTCAGATGTTCTGTCTATCTCCAATCTTTGCTAGGAAGCCTCATGGCCAGAGCCTAACCTCGACATAAAGTACATAATAAATAAAGAACAACACAAACTTAAGCATTTTTTAATCAAAAATCAGTTAACAAACATTTTTTCTCATAAATTTTATTCTCCATAACAAGCTAACGACTGGTGAATTTAGCTTATATTGAATGTGTATTTATTCTATATTGAAGCCAAGTAGATGCGCTTAGCGCTCACGTTCCTCAGTTCTTGTGTTCTATCCTTGGATTGGGCAAAGCTGACTCAGGCTTCCAACTCTTCAGAGATTCGATAAAATGGGTACCACGCATCATATTGTCATATTTAAAACCTATTTGTAGAAAAATTAAAACAATTGCGTTAGTAACTTCCATTTCAAATCATGTGCGAACATCTGAAATGGTATGTACTGTTATATGATGTTATTAATTTTCCTGAAATTGAAGGTAATTTTTTATACATCAAGGGTAATACCATTATAAATACTGTTAATACCATTAAAATGACAGCTCCGAACTATTTATAATGACACTTGAATTAAAAATGAAATATTTATACTCATTTTCTTATTGCGGTCAAAATAACAGCAATCATCTATCTCTGTAGGTAAAATATCATTTTAGTGTTAAGCAGCTGATATGCTGGAATTAATTTATTGAGGGAGTTGTCGGTTTGAAACTAAAATTTCATCTTGGAATTCTTAATATGATTACTAATTTAGTCTTTCATTTTGGCTTTTGTTTAGTATAAAAGAAATTTACCATATTTTCTTTCTCTATTAAAAAGCAATTAGTGTGGTTTTCTTTAATAAATAAGAGTTTTTAAAGCTGACAGCTTTCTCTACTTCTAAAAAGTTTCTTGGTGGGATATCATAAGTTTTAAAGTAATAAATAAATATACATGCAAATGACAATCCCTCTTTCATGTTCCGTGATGGCTCAGGGGCTAGAGCGTTCACCTTCCAAAGTGGTGAACTGGGTTCGAATCCCATGTCGATACGAATTCCATATCCGGCTTGCACCGACCACAGTGCTAAGGTAAAATATCCTCAGTGGTATACGGATCATGGGTAAGAGTCCCCTTGTCGTCAGGCTAGCCGTAGGAGTTTCTCCTGGTTTTCCTCTCCACGTAACGCAAATGCGGGTTAGTTCCATCAAAAAGTGCTCCACGAAGTGAAATTTCTCCCAAAACGTGATGCAAAAGTTCCCTCGTCTTCTGGATTGAATTCAAAAGTACAAGGCTACGGAGTTGAACATTAGTAGTCGTACACGCAAAAAATTGGGTCTGCTGTTCAACGACGGTTATAAAATTACATAAAAAATTCGCTCATTCATTAAAATTTATGATAATTAAATCAAATTGCAACTTTGATTATAAAGGTTTTCCTTGCTCTTTACGTGTAGCTTTAACTAAGTCCTGAACACGTTGATTAAGTACCGACGCACCGCCATTTTGGTGACTGCAACTCTCTTGTGACCGTAATTCTCAATCTGGAAATACGGAGTTTCTATTCTTAAATTCCACCTTTTATTGATTACTATTTTTCCTATTCTTGATGATAACTTAAATATGCACTATTTATTCTTTTAATTCCTTTTTTTCTGAAATTATGTTTTACTTTTATTCTATTCAGTAAAAATAATACCTTATCCATAAGTATCGTCTATCTCATTTCGTCTTCCATAATATGCTATATCTTTTTTTTCCCCAAACTCTTTGAAATTTTTTCCAGTCAGTTCTTTTATGCGGTTCTATTGGTGGTATGATTTAGAATTTAATTATCATTGTTATCGGTGTTGGGATTTAATTATATGTATTATCATATATTCAAAGAAAGAAATTTTTTTTCTCCCAATAGTTTAAATCTTTTTCTTCTAATCATTATCAATTGTTCTTTGGTCCTTTATAAAAGAAATTGCTAAAACTTTTCGTACCCTTGATTGAATTTAAAATGAAATCTTAATTAATATTTTAGATGCAAATGACAAAATCAAAAAATATTTTAAACAGCTGTTTCGTTTTTAAAATACTAAATTGAATAAAAATATGTTTATCAATTGAAAAAAAAATAAAAAATTAGAAATAATAAACCAATGAATTTCCTTGAGCAGCATTAATATTTTTTAGATATTCATTATATTAAGAAATTCATTAATATTAAAAAAATAAGAGTTAAACTATTTAATTTATACTAGTGGGCTTCGCCCCCTGCTCGCAAACGCTCGCCAACCCCCAAAAATTGCTGTCCTATCTTATATGGTTTGCTTCGCAAACCAAGCTCGCTTCGCTCGCTACTAACTTAGGTACATTGCAAATGCACAAAATTCTAAGAATTCAAAACAATCATTCAAATCCATATAAAAACATTTTTTTTTAAGAAAATCAAATCTTTTTAGTAAATAAAAAGTCATTGAAATAAATTTGAATTCAAATAAATGACATGTAATTCGTTAAACCTATTATAAATGTGATATAGTATAATTCGTAATATAAATCAAAAATCGTCAAATAAATTCGTAATATATAAATTCGTGAAAAAAAGCGCTTTCGACAAAATACTAAAATGGAGATCTATCGACAAAGACTACTCACTTCTGCCTAGCTTAATAGTATGAGATTGCCGCAGCTGATGCTCTCTGGTTATTTCAGTTTCCGTTTTTAAAAGCGCTATATGTTGAGCCACCTCAGCCAGATTTGGCATTTTTAGCGGCAATCATTGGTTAATTTTCTAGTCGCCGTGTAAGAGAAATAGTGACGTAAACAAAACAAAGCAAACGTCGCCACCGGAGGAAAAGAAATACAGCCAAAATTTGGGAGCCACGTAGGAGAATTATATATATTAGATAGATTCACTATTGAGATACATTATTTGAGTATAGATAATATTGTATGGTAAATATTTCATTTTAATAAATCTTGATATTTACAAAAACATCTTAATCTTGTCAATTGGATAAAGTAAAGCTACCAAACTACGAAAAGTATATAAAATGAAAAAAATATATATATATTTTAGTGAATTAGTACAAAATTATTTAAATTGTATTAATTTTATATTTTATTAATTTTATATTCTCTTAATGAGTAACAATGTTAATATCATATTTTTAAAGAGAAAATACTTGCCATAATGGGATACTTGCAAGTGACGTAGTGTGGGTGTGTCAATCCCTTTGGTTGTTGAAGCGTGGCATTTGTTTACCCGAAATTAATTTATTAAACTGTGTACAGAATAAAAAATATAAAAATGTGCGGTATTTTTCAGTTTAAATAGGTACCAAATATACTAACATAATACTTGCCGATATTCGTAAATTTTTTACCCATTAAAACTTCATCATTTAGCAAAACACTAGTTGTGACAATTGCCAATATTAATTTAGCATAATTAAGGGTAATAATAGCATGGTGATTTTCAACGTTTCTCTTAAGCGAATTAGAGCCTTTCCGCATTAATTTTGCTAATTAGTATGCAGTTTTTAATCAATTAGTATCTACTACCAAAACTTATTAAGCTTCATAGGCATCAATAAGAGCATGGTAATTTTTTTTTTACTTTTCTCCTAAACAAATTAATTCTATTTTTCCATTATTTTTGCTTTTAAATATATAGTTTTTTTTTAATTTCTATTACCACTTATGACTAATTTTAAATAAGCATCATTTGGGTTCGGCGATTTTTCTTTTACATTTCTTCTAAGCGATTTAGTACTATTTTTTCATTAATATTCTTTCAGTACTTTACACTTTAATAAAATTTCATAGTTTAATAAAAACACGTTTTGAAAGTATAACTATAAATAAAATAAGAAAGTGACTTTAGGATACTAATTTGATGACGTAGCTCGCCTTTACTTTCATGTTGATCATTGAGTTTATCTCTTATAATGAATAAAAAAAAATTAAATATAAATGAACGTGGATTGAACTTTTTTTCTTTAAGTAGAGCTATAAGCTAGTTAGCATAAATTATGTAATCGTTTTAATATTTGAAATAAAAACAGAATCATCTGTAGTTTTATTTATATAATGGCTAGCTTAGAGAAAAAGAGGAAATTATATTTTCTCATATCTATGAAAATGACTATTTTCAAAATTTTTAGGATCGGGGGCTAAAATTTGTGGTACCTTGTGTGTACCAACGGTACACACAAGGTAGACCAAGCGGTAGAGCAAACGGTTCTGGAGTTATTAGGAAACACATGCATAAGTATACTCTTCATTTTATTATTATAGCTTAACATGGAATCATGAGATAATGTTGTACTATTATCTAAATTTTAAACGCGCGTAAAATAATGAAAATAACATTAATAAAAAATAATAGTGAAATAAAAAAAATCACGTAGAAGTATCAATACTTACTACTTATACAGAACTATTTGCTACGAAAAAAATGTATTTTTATGTATTCACAGAAACTCTATCTACTTTGTTTTTGTTCGAGGAAAAAGTTTCTCCATAACAAATAAGTACATTTGTGCTGAATATTCTATGGATTCAATAAATATTTGGCGAAAAGAAGGAAATAAACTCTGCTATTGCGAATCATTTTATCTTTGAAGGTATGCAGGAGCAACGGAATATTCACTTATCACAAATATGGAAAAAATAAGTTAGGCTAAACGAAAGCTTCAGAAATAGTAATCAAAAGTTTCGCCAAAGTATCATATTTTTAGCAACTTGGTCATTTTTTTGAAGACCTTTTGTTTTTTATTCTTTCGAGGAAAAAGGAATTTTCCCTCAGAGGCATTACTGGAGTAGAACTTTTCTGTTAAAGTAGTAAGTTTTGTGCAATATCTGTAGATATTCGTTTTATGTAACTAAGTGAGTCAAATCAATATTTATCATGTTTAGAGAAGGAAAATGCTTTTTTCCTTCTGATTTTACTTATTCCAAATGTTTTTCCCTCAGTATACAATTGTATAATCAATTTGATCTCGACTTTTTTTATTTCATCGTTTTAAAAGCTGCGTGCTAAAATTATTTGTTTACAAATTCTCGTAAAAAGTCTCTAACATATTTTTTTTTACTTCCTAAATTTCTTACAATTTAATTTGTTTTTTTAAATTGGTTATGAGTTAGTAGATTAAAGAAATCAGATTTGCTCTGTAACATACATAAAAACTTTTTACAAAGTATTCTTAGAGTAGCATTTTATTAGTGTATTTATAATATTAGTGTAACATTTATATATATATTTATGTATCATTTATTTATCATATATTCATATATTATCATATATTCATTATTTATCATATATTCATTTATTTATCATATATCATTTATTTATCATATATTCATATATTATCATATATTCATTATTTATCA